CTTCTCAAACTCGTAACTTGAATTTGCATAAAGTGTTATATGTTCAGAATATAAGGAAGAATCTGATTTCCGTCTATCGCTTATGCAATACTAATCGAGTATCGGTGGAATTTTTCCCTGCTTCTTTTCAGGTGAAGGACTTGAGCACGGGGAGCCTATTGCTCCAAGGGAGAACTAAAGACGAACTCTACGAGTGGCTAGTGACTAATCCGAAAGCTACAACTCTGTTCACAACACCTAGTCCCAAGACCACTCTCTCCTTTTGGCATTCTCGTTTAGGTCACCCTTCGTCTTCTATTTTAAACACTTTAATTTCAAAGTTTTCTCTTCCAGTTACTGTTGCTTCTACCAATAAACTTTCTTGTTCTGATTGCTCCATTAATAAAAGCCATAAAATGCCTTTTGCAAATTCCTCCATTAAATCTTCTTCACCACTTGAATATATTTTCACAGATGTTTGGACTTCTCCTATCATATCTCATGATAACTACAAATACTATCTAGTGCTTGTAGATCACTACACTCGTTACACTTGGCTCTATCCCTTACAACAAAAATCATAAGTCAAGTCAACATTCGTTGCGTTTAAGACGCTGGTCGAAAATCGTTTTCAAGCAAAGATACAGACTCTTTATTCAGATAATGGAGGTGAATTCGTTAGTTTAAGAGAGTTTCTGGTCACTCATGGTATCTCTCACCTAACCTCGCCGCCGCATACGCCTGAACACAATAGCCTCTCAGAACGCAAGCATCGCCATATTGTGGAGACGGGTCTCACGCTACTAACATAAACTTCCGTTCCTCGTGAGTATTGGCCCTATGCGTTCTCGACCGCTGTCTATCTAATTAACCGGATGCCCATGCCGGTCTTGTCGTTAGAATCACCATTCCAGAAACTGTTTGGTTCGAAACCGAACTATGAGCGTCTACGTATCTTTGGCTGCCTCTGCTTCCCCTGGCTTCGACCTTACACTCGCAACAAACTAGAAGAACGGTCCAAAAGATGTGTGTTTCTTGGTTATTCACTCACGTAATTCGCCTACCTTTGTCTTGATGTGGAGAATAACAGATTTATACCTCTCGTCATGTGGTGTTTGATGAAATGATTTATCCCTTCTCCAATTCCACTCAGCCCCGTGAACAGAGCTCGTCACCATCGGTCACTCTCCCTACAATTTCAAGCGCTCCGTGCTCCGTTCTTTACCCGCTACCACCGCCGGCAACATTCCAGTCACCATCACCGGTGACACTACCGGTGACACCACCGGTCCATTTGACGCCACTATCGTCTCCTTCCACCAACACCAATCCGATGGATTCTCCACCTCAGGTACGTGACTCTACAACCTTATCATCATCTTCTCCCTCTCTTAATTCTGAGCCCACTACTCTTCAAGAAAATGGGCCTGAACCTGAGGCCCAGTCCAAGTCACCCTTTATAGGCCCACTGCCAGACCCAACCCTTAATACAAATTCATCTTCTTCAATGAACCCAAGACCGGTCCATATCACGACCACCACTTCCACGTCACAAAATCAAGCCACCACTACTGCCGCCGTTCAGCTATTACCAGAACCAACACAAAACCAGCACCAAATGAAAACCAGGTCCAAAAAAAACATCACTAAACCCAAGCTTAAAACCAGCCTCACTGTTGCTTTATCCACAAAGCAAACCACATAACCAACCACCATCATGCAGGCTCTCAAAGATGAGAAATGGCGATTTGCAATGTCCGACGAATTTGGTGCTCAACAACGGAATCATACTTGGGATTTAGTCCCCAACAGAAATTAACATCTTGTCGGATGTAGATGGGTGTTTAAACTCAAGTATCTTCCCACTGGAGCCATTGACAAATACAAAGCTCGGTTAGTAGCCAAAGGATTCAATCAACAATATGGAGTGGATTATGCTGAAACCTTCAGCCCGGTTATTAAATCGACCACAATACGACTTGGTCTTGATGTTGCGGTAAAGAAAAATTGGCCACTTAAACAGCTCGACGTCAACAACGCTTTCCTTTAGGGAACTCTTACCGAGGAAGTTTACATGGCACAGCCCTCGGGTTTTATAGACAAAGACCGCCCTACTCATGTTTGTAGACTTCGTAAAGCCATCTATGGACTGAAACAAGCTCCAAGAGCATGGTATATGGAATTGAAGCAACACCTACTGAACATTGGCTTTGTCAACTCTCTTGCCGACACGTCTCTGTTTATATATTGTCACGGTACGACTCTGGTCTATCTTCTAGTCTATGTTGATGACATTATTGTCATAGGGAGCGACCCAAATTCTGTAGCTGCGGTACTTACCTCTCTTGCGGAACGGTTTTCAATCAAAGATCCAACTGATCTCCATTACTTCCTTGGTATTGAGGCTACATGAAAAAAACAAGGGTTGCATCTCATGCAACGGAAGTATATTACTGATCTTCTCGCAAAGCACAACATGTTAGATGCTAAACCGGTAGCAACACCTTTACTAACTTCACCGAAGCTAACTATTCATTCCGGCAGCAAACTTGATGATCTATCCGCATATCGTTCAATTGTGGGCAGCTTATAGTACTTATCCTTCACACGCCCCAACATAGCATACACAGTTAACCGGTTATCGCAGTTCATGCATCAACCAACCTCGGATCATTGGCAAGCTGCGAAAAGAGTCCTCTGCTATCTTGCTGGCACCACTACCCATGGTATCTTTCTCCACTCTTCCTCTCCTTTAAGTCTCCATGCCTTCTCGGATGCAGATTGGGCTGGTGACTACGATGACTACTTCTCCACAAACGCATATGTTCTCTACCTTGGGAGTAATCCCATTTCGTGGTCCTCTAAAAAGCAACGTGGTGTCTCACGCTCGTCAACAGAATCGGAATATCGTGCTGTTGCCAACGCCGCTTCTGAAGTACGGTGGCTGTGTTCTCTACTCACAGAGTTACGCATTCGTTTGCCAACGGGACCAGTCATATTTTGCGATAACATTGGCGCCACCTACTTGTGCGCCAATCCCGTCTTTCACTCACGCATGAAGCACATTTCTCTTGACTACCACTTTGTTCTCAACATGATTCAATCCGGAGCTCTACGTGTTACTCATGTTTCCACTAGAGATCAGCTCGCGGACGCACTCACGAAGCCACTTCCAAGAGCACATTTCCAATCAGCCCGATCCAAGATTGGAGTTCGACAACTCCCTCCATCTTGAGGGAGCGTATAGAGCACATTAGTTATAATGTTTAAGGTCATAATTGTAATTAGTAAATCCCTAATCATAAGGTTGTGTCTTAGTATATATATGTACATTACTCCTTCAATATTAATCAACATATTCACATTCTATAAACCAAACCTTGTGGTATGTTTACATCTTATAATAAGCTAGTTAGTATTTTACTGGTGAATCCACACGTAAACAGATATCTTAACGTTTGAGTAAGCATCAACACGATATTAGATTTAAAACAAAATGGTTTTGAATGATAATCTTGTATTACTGTGGTACGGGGTGTACCGCTTTGACAGTTACTAAAAGCGTTATTTGCAGTTTTTTGTATAGCTTTCGTGTACTACTCTGTTTTACAATTTTGCGTAATAACTTGTACAATTTGTGTTACCAATCGGATCCAAAATATTACTTTTTTTATTATTATTTATTAGATATTAACCAAATACATCAACCAATGTTTTCAATAGATTGGTTGATTTAGATATTCTAAGATGTATTTAAATCAGATTTTTTTTTTTGCTAATAAATTAAATCAGATTTTATAATAACTATATCACATGAATGTGAGCTGCAAGAACTTTAATAAGCATTATGGTATATTACATGTTCCAAATTCTCCACAAGAAGGAATCCGGAAGGTGTTTGCAAATTGCAACCATTGGCTCTTACCACTTCTTCATAACCATCGAACAATGTAGAAAAAAGATTTGGCTTTTGGAGGTACAACGTTGTGGTCAGCAACGTAAGTTCAATATCTCAAAACATCGGTCGTTGGCAGGTTAATGAACAAGGGGGCATGGATGTCAAAGAATAAGCAATACAAGTTTACATTGTATCTACACAATGTTATATAAGAAAGTGGTAATACTCCACTTATGGGGTTTTTCTTACCAGAGTTCGATTATAATAAATACTATTACTCTTCATAATAGAAAGAAAAAATAGATCGGATCTTGTTGTATTCGTTAAAATATTTTTATTGACCGAATCAATTCAATTTTAGAGAGAGGCATGGATTTTTCTAAAAATTGTTGACTCAAGTATTTTCTAAAGATTTATTCAAATCAGGTTTATTTACTCTCTATAGTTACAAAAACGTTAATAAAATATTTCCATTGTTGTATAAAAATTAAGCAGATTTGATTACTTAGAATCTTGAACTTGACAATAAGGTTAATCGCATTCAAAAAAAATTATCCCATAAATTAACTCATAATTGCGTAATTTTTACGATTCACTAGTCACATTGTGTATTATTCACGCCTTTATTTTAAAATTTTAAATATAAGTTTTTTTAAAAAAAGTAATTACTTTTGCTTTCAAAATAACATCATAGTGTGGTGCGCGTAGATCATCCCCAATCTACCCCGCAAGTTGCGGTGGCAATTTTCATAAAGTCAAAAAAGTATTCGACACGTGCCCTCCTCTCATTCGTCCAACACTTACGCCCTCGTAATCCTATTGGTTCATATGCATCACCCTCTTTGTCACTCAATTATATTATCACCCTTCAACTTTATCCATAATCACGTGAATGCCATTACACTAAAACAGTAATCAATTCTTTTATTTTTGGAAAACACTATTAAATAGGAAAATCTAATGAGGGAACACTAAAAAAAAAGTATTTGATCAAAAAGCGTCTATCATAAGTACGGTCGATCTTCCCCTTCTATTTTTATAAGGTCCACTCTCCACTGAAGTAAATGACAAAACAACGACTCGCTTTTGGAGTAATTACACTAATACCATTCAATCACGCCGTTGATCTTGGTGACTATATTAAATTCAGTGGACCGCGTTACACTTGATTGTTGCTTCAGTATACGTTATAAGAAAAAGTGATTTTAAAAGGGAAAGGAAAAAACCATTTCGTGTCATCCTCTTCCCCACTTCCAACCAAAATTAGTTTTAAAAACAAATTATTAATATTAAAAAAGTTTTTTTTTTCTTTAGAAATTTTTTTAAAGTAACCCTAAAGTCTAAACGCCGTTGTGTGATATTTGGAGAGAGGGAGTGAGAGAGAGATTAAAACTTCTTCTGGTTCCTTTTATCAACATTTTTTCTCTCTCTTAAAACCAAAAAAAACTTCGAAGCGATTTTTGATATTTTCTTAACTATGGAAATGGAATCATTCATGGACGACCTTTTGAACTTCTCTGTACCGGAAGAAGAAGAAGACGACGAAGAAAATACGCAACCACCGAGGAATATTACTCGCCGGAAAACTGGAATACGGCAAACGGATTCCTTCGGCCTCTTTAATACCGATGACCTTGTAAGTCTTCCAAAAAAAAAAAAATCACCTAGACATGTTTGTTAAATAATCCGCCGGTTCACGGCGGTTGAGTTGACTCGCCGGTTCACGGCGGCGGGGGATTGTTGACTCAGCCGGGTCAAAAGTTCGGGTTTCGGAAAACGCGTTTTCCTTTATTAAAGTTATTAAACGTGCACGTCATATGTGGGGGACGTTTCGCTGGTTCGTTTTTGTGTTATTGTAAAAAGACGAAACTACCCTTTGGTTTTTAAACCTTTTTGAGATTTGTTTCGGGTGTTTGTTGGAGGGGTATATTCGGGAATTTACATTTTTCTTGGGGGGTCATTGTTTCGTGAGCTGTTCCTCACATGATGGTGAGCTACCACAATTAATTTTCAACCATTTCGATTTTTATTTGTCACACCTTTTTCGAAAATTGTTTTATTTTATTTATTATTCGATGCTCCTTCATTTGACAATTATTATTGGGATAAATTATGAAATGACATAATTACCCTTCCATTTTTCCTTCACCCACCCATTTATCTTTTTCGGAAAACGAGGACGTGTTGATCCGAGTTGACTCAGTCGAGTTCACTCAGTCTAATTTAATTTGAAATTTCAAATTTGGTTTGCAGGGAGTGGTTGAGGAAGAGGATTTGGAATGGATTTCAAACAAAAATGCTTTTCCGGTGATTGAAACATTCGTCGGCGTATTACCGTTGAGTCCGGAGAGAGAAGCGACTGAGGGAAAACAGTTGAGTCCGGTTTCAGTACTTGAGACGAGTAGCCATAGCTCCACAACAACGACGGCGACGACCTCAAACAGCAGCGGCGGAAGTAACGGAAGCACGGCTGTGGCTACCACCGCTACAACCACCACAACAATAATGAGCTGCTGCGTTGGTTTTAAAGCACCGGCTAAAGCGAGAAGCAAGCGTCGTCGTACAGGACGCCGTGATTTAGGAGTTTTGTGGACAGGAAACGAGCAAGTTGGAATACAGAAGAGGAAGACGCCGTCGGTTGCGGCGGCGGCGGCGATGATTATGGGGAGGAAGTGTCAACACTGTGGAGCGGAGAAGACGCCGCAATGGAGGGCGGGACCAGCGGGACCGAAGACTCTGTGTAACGCTTGTGGCGTGAGGTATAAGTCTGGGAGGCTAGTTCCGGAGTATCGTCCGGCGAACAGTCCAACTTTCACGGCGGAATTACATTCGAATTCTCACCGGAAGATTGTAGAGATGAGGAAGCAGTATCAGTCCGGTGACGCTGATCGGAATGATTGTGGATAAAAGTTGTTAGAATTAATTTCTCTCTTTTGTTTTTGGAGAAACTTTTTTTTCGTTAATTTCTCTTTATTTGTTGTTTTTAAGTCTGTTTTAGGGTTTTGCAGTTGGAATTTAGGTTTTTTTATTTTATTTTTATTTGTGAAATTAGAGGTAATTACTTAATTAGGGGATATTATGGTCAGGGAATGGAAGATAACTTTCTCATTTTACTGTTTTATTTGATTCTGCTGGTAATTTAAAAAATAGAAAAAAAATACATTTTATATTATAAGTAAGTTATTGTTGATGATTGATGATAAGTTTTATATAAATTTGACCCTTTTAAATGTCAATTTAGTTAGGCCAACTAATTATACTAGTTTCTAACTATGATAGATATTGGAAATGTGAGTCAATTTTGGGGTTTTCTTGCATGTCTTGATTGAGTGATTCTTCTTTTGCCTTTAATTACTGACATTGTCTAAAATGACATATATTATCAAAAAAAGTAGATAGCAACTACAACTATTTAATTTTGATATATTGTCATAGTTCTGTTTTTTTTCCAAAGTAAGGTATGCAATAAGATCAAGCAAAGCATTTGTATTTTACTATTGAAAAAAAAGAAAATTGATGGGTGAGAAATAAATAAATAATAATAAGTGTCAAAAACTTATCAACTAACAACTAAATCTATCAAAGCTTGAGCAATTATTTTATTTTATGATTCCATATGATCAACAGTTTTATCCACTAACACAATTATACGCAGTGACTCATTACAAAACATAATTTCGTCATATCCAAAACACAATTATCATGTGTGAACATGGTTGGTTTAATGGTTAGATGTTCATAGCCTTTGTTCCTTTCTAAATAACAAATTTACAATCTTAATACGATTTTAGTCAACATCATGATCTCTGGAGACAAAAACTGATGGTGCAGGCGTATAAACCAAATAAGTAGATTAGATGTAACATTTTCCTAATTCATATAGTAATTTGATTAATTTAATTTAACTAAGGGATTAAAAAAAGATTAGAGTAGTAATGTATGATTGGAGGAGTCAGTGAGTGTGGAGTAGTAGTCACATGGGGGATTTGATACTTAGCTAATATCATTGCACATGCCTCTTCTTCCCCATTCCACCAACTCCATTGTCTCCATTGTACGCCAAGAATCATAATCATATTATCAATTTTTTTTCTAAATTATTCAATAAATATATGTATCTACCATATTTTATTTCATTCTATATCTATAATATATTTTAAGAAAAATATCGTTGAAATCCCTAACTTACTCAAAACGTTGATTTAAATCTTCAACTCATGACGAAACGAAATAAATATCAAACTTATGTTGACTTTCCAAATAAATATCAAATTTATGTTGACTTTCCAAATAAATATCAAACTTCCGTTGACCTGGCCATATTAGGTACGACGTTAAGTACGTTAATAGATCTCGTTAACGGAGTTAATTTTCTGTTAACATACATGTTAATTGATAACGACATCGTTTCATATAACAACAAAACGACGTCGTTTTGTCGTAACGATTGAATTAAATCCCTAAAGTCAATCTTAGATCCCTAAATCGAGCAAAATCTCTAACCCTAAATCTTCATATGATTTGAAACTCGGGATTTTATTGAGCAGTTACGACAAAACAACGTCGTTTTATGTTTAGAAGGAATACTGTCATTTTTAATTAGCGGGTCTGTTAATAGAAAATTAATCCCGTTAAAATGGTCTGTTAACTCACTTAACGTCATGCCTAATATGGACAAGTCAATGAAAGTTTGGTGTTTGTTTGGAAAGTCAACATAAGTTTAATATTTATTTAGAAAGTCAACATAAGTTTGATATTTATTTCGTTTCGTTGTGAGTTGAGGATTTAAATTAACGTTTTGAATAAGTTGGGGATTTTAATGACATTTTTCCTAATATATTTTTGTAGATTTTTTGCATTTATATACAAATCTAACTAGGAATTCAAGTGATTGTATCACAATGATTCTTTTTATGTTGACCAAAGAATTGGATATCTTGATCGTTAATGGAAAATAATATTTTATAACTTATAAGCCATGGCAATGTGTATATTGGGAGGGTTAGGTATATCAAAATTTGACTTTGGAATTGTATACTACATCATCACTCTTATAAAACTTTTGTTAGTTTTTTTTTTTTTTGTCGTCTGAATAATTATATTGATCGATTTGGAAACATACAAGCATAACAAAAGCACAAGCCCTGCAGAAAAGGCTAAATCCTATCTCAAAAACACCTTAACACACTAAGGCCTTTACAAAAAATTGCTCTCACATGAGACACACCTATAATAACCCAAAAAGCAAGAATAGAGGATAAACTCTCTCATCACAAAAGACACCACCCAACCAACTCGGATAACCCGAAGCTACATAAGAATGAACACGACCATCTGTGGTGACGCTTTTGGCAATGAGACTAGCTCCTATATTTGCTGAAGCACTTTCAATAATCAATTTCCTCTTTTGTTAGTTTATAAGGAATAATATATTTAACAGGAAATAGTACATCTAACTATATAAGGTAATTCAATTCATAACATTAAAAAAATTAAGTTTTATTAGTGACAAAAAAAAAAAAATTTGTGAAAAATGATGCCATAGTAATTAAAAAAATAAGAGAGAATGGTAAAAAAATGAGAAAAAAAAAAACCCTAGTTCCCTTTCTCTCTCGAGAATCAGCCGCCAGGACCAAAAAAAAAAATTTGATCTCAGGCTGGATCGTGGTGGCTACTCTAGCACCGGATTCAGCCTCCCCACATTTGCTTTAGTTTCTTTCTCTCTTTTCGTTTTCGGTTTGTTTCCCCGGTGACCCTGTTCGTGAAATGATGTTGGTGCAGCTGCGTCGTAGTTCTTTTGCTTGTGTTTCCAGCCGAGTTGCGGAGGTGGTGCTGGTTGGGTTAGAGACCTCTTTGTAATTTCGGCGGTGGTGGTCTTATTTGTTTGAGTTTGGGGTTCGGATCTGGTTTGTTGCGAGACCTTAGGTGGCTTTGAGTTTCAAGGTTTGTTTGGTCTTGTTTCTTTCTTAGATCTGTTTTTGTGCCTCAATTCTTGCCGAGTTCTTTCTGTTTGCTGCTCCTTGGTTCATCTTCTTCATCGGGTTGCTAGTGATGTCATGTTTCCTGAACTTCAAATTGGTAGACTTCTAGGTTCTGTTCGGACTTTGCATTTGGAGGGCTTGTTTTGGGTTAGTTGGTTTGCTTTTGGGTTATTCTCCGGTTGATGCTACTGGTCCGATCGTTTGTGCTGATTTTGGATGAAGCAACGAGAGGCAGGGGTTGTTGTTGTTTATGGTTTGGTGTCTGTACGGGTTGGCTGCTCTCGAGGTTGGCTTTGTGGATCTAGTCTTAGGGGTTCGGTTCCTTTGATCGGAGTTTTGCCGGTTTTTTGTGATGTTTGCAGGTTATTGTGTTGTCATGGAAAGTCGTGTTCACGACAGTTCCTCATTCGGGTTTCCGGGTTCTGGTTGGTTTGGCTTTGGTTGCTCGTGGCTCTTTCTGGTTCCTATCAAAGCGGTGTGAGCATTGTTATGAGTTTGGTCGTCCTTCAGTCCCTTTCATCTATTTGACAATGGGTGTGTCTTCTCTTCCTGCTTCCATTCCAGCTAGTACTTTCTTTGTCCTTCCTATTTGTGCTTGATGATCTCTTCCATTTGGAGTTGGTTCCAAAGTTTTTATCTTTCGTCTGGTGTATTTGCTGTAAGGTTGCCTTTTCTTTGGATCTTTAGTTTCCCTGTAATTTAGGACTTTGCTTCCCTCGTTTGGGCTTTATCTCCGGGGATATCTTTTTCTTCCACCGGTTTATGTAATCTCACAATGTATCTTTCCGATGTTTTATCAATCAAATCAGATGAAAAAAAAAAAAAAAGAGAATGGTAAAAAGTAAATGATGATATATGTTTAATTCTTTTCGTTTTTCTAATTGCTAACAATCAAAACGTCTTATCGGTGTGGTAAAGAATTATGTCAATCATATATTTTAGTTATTACTATGATACAACTTTGAATCCTAGATTAACATAGAACCCCTGTTCTAAAAATCCCCGCCTAGCCCCGATTACTCCCCGCTTAATCGCTAGACCCACCCTATCCGCCTCGATTAATGACTAATCCCCTAAAAAATCAGTAACCCGATTATTCTCCGCCTAATCCGATTACTTTCCGCCTAATCTTATATACCCCGATTATTTTTTAGATTGCAAGTATAAAAAAACTTTTTATTTTTGTTATTCAATCATTTGAATGGAGAGTTTGTGATGTTTTACAATAACTTGTGTTCAAATTTTAATAAAAATCATAAATTTGTAATAAAAATCATAAATTTTTACAATATTGGATTAATATATTTTAAAAATATTAAAATAACCCTAAAACTAATCCCCGATTAATTCCCGATTTTAATCCGATTTTCCGATTAATCGCTAGGCCCATGCCGAGCGCCCGACTAGCGCCTAGCGATTTTTAAAACAAGGCATAGAACTACTACTCTTTTGATTTAACTAAGCATTAGATCGAAATACCACTGACACTGATATTGAGTTTGGTGATTATGGGAGAAAAATAGAACATCTAAAAAAAAAAAATTAATAAGAAACTATATTGGGCTGATTTGGCAGTGTGCCCTTCGTCTTTTACGATCTGACAAAACATATGTGGACTTAAACAAAAACAAAATGGGCCAGTTAACCTAAATGCAATCTCAACCTTTTGTTTTCTTTTCCCAGATTTTCAACAAAAAACAAAAATTAAGGAATGAAAGTGAGCACTATACTACTAATTCCTAAGTAAGAGCATCGATTTCACACCAAAAACAAAAGTAAGAGCATCGACACTAATCATATTATGTCACATTCTTTACTTACATATAAGCATCATACGTATGGTCATCTTTTAATTACTTTTGTGAAATAGAGTTACCAAATTGAAATAAAATTATATATTTTATAAAATATATATGTTTGGACTTTGGACTAATTGATGTTTGGAAGGTATTATAATTCAACTAAAATTAGATTTTTATAACTTGTTGGATAAATCTAGATGGTTTTTAATTTGGATTTAGATTTTCTGCTAATTGATAAGATATTAAAAACAACTTTTTCAATATTTGTTAAGAAATCATAAGCAAAAGTTAAAATATAATTTTTAGAAATGTGTTTAAAGCTAATTAAAATATCTATACTAGTATAATCGCAGCACTTTTTGTGACGGGTGGGTAAAAAAGCTTTCGGGTATATCGTATATCCGACGCATTTTAAAAATTCCTTCACAAAAAATTTGTTGGGTCGGGTTATATTTAACCCAACTCATACACCAGATATTCCATATTTAATAATTTAGATTTTTAGAAGATTTGATTAAGATTTATAATTATGATTCTCCTATCATCTTTGTTTGATTTGTTTTTAACTGTTTTGAATCATCATATAATACATAAAGTAAAAAAAAAATCAATTTTTTTTCTGCATATACTGTGATTCGAAATTTTAAAAACGGACATATATTATCTAATTGACGAAAATGTGTGTTCAACGTTCTACATCGATTAAAATATTTAGACAATGATTCAGAATCATATCATAAATAAGAACATTAATAAAATAAATGAGTTTTTTGGCGGGATGGGTTTGGCGGGACGGGTTTTTGAATCAACAATAATAAAAAGATTAAAATATCATTAATCCGCCGCTTCAATACGGATTTAATCCTTTTTTTTAATACAAATCACATGACGGGTTAAGAAATTACGGAACGGGTTATATTTCAGAAATGATTTATATGGCGGACGAATTTGAATCAATATTTATATACCGCTTTAATACGGGTTAAATCTTCAGTTTATTAATAATTATCTCGTGGACTCGTGGTATACCGTTACTTAATAACAATTGTAAAGTATAATATAAATAAATATGTTATAAGGAGATACAATTTACAAAATATTTTTATACTAACTTTAAAATTAAATCATCCCGCGGTGTACCGCGGGTTAAAATCTAGTATTGATTAAGAAGATAAGAGGAGATATTCCTATCCTAAAAGAAATGTATCAATATGTTTGGTTGTATATGGATAGTAGAATATTCTTTGGAAAACTTGTTTAGATATAATAAATTAAAGATAATGATTAGAATAATTGGACATTTATATATACATATATATTTACAATGACAAATCATGTAATATCTTATCTTTACATTTTAGAAAGTTATTTTCAAAAATCTTTCCCAAATAATATTAGATGGATTTCCAATTTCCCTATGTTTTCAATTCATCATTTCATACAAACCACATTCTCACGTACGATCATTTTCAAGGAGATTCCTATTGTACTTGTTTTTAATTACACTATTTTTGGCTACATCAATGATCTTTGGTCCAAGAAAAAAAAAAAAAATTATAACCAAGAAAAATCTTTGGTCCAATAAACCTCATCACTACTAAAATAAAATCCATCTTCTCTAACGGACCAAGAACACTTCTTAGTAGATCCACATCTATTGCTGTCTCTAGAAACCTTAAACGCCTCGAACCTCTTCCTCTTCGAATTCCATTTCATTGTACATGTGTACTCTGCCATCCACGACCACAAATCGATCTTGGCCGTCCATTCGAAGTCGTCTCCTTCTTGAAGCGCACGACCACCGAGATCTCCTTGCGGGGAAGTGCACCAAATCACTAGAGGGAGAGAAGAGTTGTCTCTGAAGCTGTTGATCACACGCACGTCGAATTCTTCTCCTAGAAACATAGTTTGTGGTTGAAGTATCAACGTGAAGATGATCGTTAAGGAGATGGCGATAAGCATAAGCAGAAGAAGAATGATTGTTTTTGGAGTGTTCATGTTTTTGTTTTTCTTCTAAACAATGCAAAGTACTGTTTAAAGATGATATTGTGTGTATACATATTATGATAAAGATTATGATAAAGATTGAATGTGTTTTTCTTAAATATGAAATTTCACAATAATTAACTAGATTTTTTTCAAATCTATTAAGGAAAAATGAAAATGGAAACATATAATTATTTTGCTAAATAATATGTAGGAAATGATTAAAAATGGAAGAACCAGATATGCAAAATCTTATATAATAATTAATAAAATCAACAAAGTAGCACGAGAAAGGAAACAAATTTCGAAAATCAATTTGTTATGTGAATATATGGAACACAATATAATATATTTTTTTGGAAAATAAATGAAAACTAAAAACTATATAATAGGGATCACTTCAGATAATACTGAAAAAGGGATACATGAGAGATTGGCGGGCACATATTGATGAAAATTTCCTTGTGTGATTATATTTTATAGCAATCAACCATTATTTTTTGTGACTTCTTATGAATTAATGATTATATAACCAAATCATATCATAAAAGCTAAAAATTGATAAGAATGCATGTAATATTACGTGACTCAATCATCCAATGCGTGTTATTTTATTAATAAGGTCAATATATAAGAGGAGCCTGTCAGGGTAGTTCGCTATATATACACCAAAACCATAATTAAGTTATGCATCTTGCTTTGTCTCCCGTTTCATTGCAGCGATCCTTTGAACTTGGGTTGTTTCAAACTGAAACTCAAAAGCCTCACCACTGTCGTTCAAATATCCCTGTTGGGCGGCGGCGATGAGGTGCAACGTACGGTGGCCGGAACTGAGCCAGGTCCAAGGTAAGTTACTAAACTTTACGGTGAAAATATAAAGATCTGTGAGAGATAAAAATAAACAAATGACCATGTTCATGGCGTAGAAAAAATAAGCACAAGAAAGATAAATTTGACGACATAGAATAAAGGAAGAAAAGAGAGCTTGGAGGTGACAATAATCATAATTTTATTTTTTGTGCCTTCTTATGAATACATAAGGGGTTTTATAACTAAAATCATATCTTTAAGTTCAAACATACTTTAGAAGTCTTATTATATATAAAAATCAACGATACAATAACACAATGCATATTGTCTGGTGTATCACCAATTGAATTGCTTTTGGTATTTTTGAATAGAAGCGACATATAGGTAGAAACCATCAGGATTGATTTGCCATAGACATAAACCATCGGGTCTGCATCTTGATTTGTCTCTATCAAGATCAAAGAGGACGAAACTAGTCTTTTTGGCTCCCGATGATGAGAAGATGTCGCAACTCCATTTAACTGATTGGTCTGTGTTAAACATCAACCCAAAAGGCTCACCTCGAAATAACACCTGAGACGAAGTATCTAATTTGGACGAGATGCAGCTTATGATGATCGGTTTAGAGCCAAGTGCAAGGTTGTTGGTTATCTTTACGGTGAAGACTGGAGCCGTGAAAGATAATGAAGAGGTAAAGGCTAAGGCTAAGGAGACAATGAAGAGGCTATATGCTTTGGTGGATATCATCTTTTGTTTTACACACTATATCAATATTCGAGTGAATCATATATATAAGAAACTTATTTGACTCACAAAGTAATGATCTTACCATATATAATTATTAAAAAATAGAGAGAGTCAAATCAATAAATTAGTAACTAAAACTGGTTCTTAAAGAGTCAATTTAATTAGAGGGAAAAAATACAAACCAGTTTTTTGGTAGACCATTAAAAAGAAAAATGAGTCAAGCCAATAAATTTATCAAAAGGAAATTAATAAAGGGAATATGCATAAGATGACCATGAATCATAAAAGAATTAACAAACTAGTCATGATGTCATAGTATTCATTTTCTCTTCGATTACAATATAATTACTCTTATATCCATTTAAGCATATTATTTGTTGCATGCTATTTTTCAAAACCACACAAAAAAAAAACATGATTCTGTGGCGAAGAACTTCCGAAGGATGCGCATACACCTTGGAACAAATCGCCACTCATCTCTTCCCTCCACAACCACAACTACTGCATCCTCCACCACCACAACCACCGGATCTCTACAACATAAGCCCACCAACCTTCTTCGCCGGTCCAAAATCCCAATTTTCTCCACCTTTTTTTCTCCATCCTTGGGAATCTTCTCTTTTCCTCTCTATCTTTAACACGAGTTTTTTCATAAAATACCTTTTTTCTAAATGACATGCTATTTACTTCAATATAACATGTTATTTTTATATGTTAAACACTATTCAATTCCATTTTTTTCATAAAGATGCTTTTTTGTAAAACACATTATATTTTTACAAATAAAAGGTTATTCAGTTCAACTATGTAAGAACTCATGCCATGCAAGGGTAAATCATATGTTATTTAGTTTTATGACAGAACAATTAAAAAAAAAACTCGAAGTTTTTATACTGAATTCTGAGATGTCAAAAATAAACTTTGTAAATGCGCTAAAATATTTGCATTAAAATAATTATATATGAATATCATGCAATAACACAATCTCTTAGTTTATAAATAAATTTACAAATTAAATTTCAAATATTTTAGTGATTTATATATACAAAATAAAATTTCATTTATGTCTTTCATAAATTAGATTTATAGATTTGCGGTTTTAGTTTAAATTTTTGTAATATATAAAAAGAAATTTGATGTTAAAATTCATATACTTTTTTTTTGACGGCATTAAAATTCATATACTATATGTGTATATTGTTTAGTTTTCAATTGAAAAAAACAATGCATTTAATATAAAAATCTTTTTATAGAAGTTTTCTTATTTAAAAATCGAGATATTTAATTGGTAAGTTTAGTTATAATAAAGGAAAATTGTTAAAAATGCCCCTTTTGGTGTGCCCCTTTTCAAAAATGCCCCTTTTAGATGTCCATTTTCAAAAATGCCCCTTTTTAAATCTGAAATGTTTATAAAGTTTTATTAGGTTTATAAGTTACTTATGGATTGTAACTACTACTTGAAGACTCGATCCAAGTATTTATAAGGTTTTATAAGGTGTTTTTAAAGGTTTTACAAGTTATTTTAAAGGATTTTTAAGGTTTTTCAAAGGTTTTACAAGATATTTTAAGGGGTTTTAAAGGTATTTAAAATGCATTTATAAGGTATTTATAAAGTATTTATAAGATTTTAGATACATTTATAAGGTATTTATAAAGTATTTATAAGATTTTATATGCTTAGTAAGATATGACTAATTTTTTTTTTTTAGTTTAATATTAATGCCCAAGATAATATTAATTTCTTGATCTGCCACTGACTAAAAGTGTTTAGCAAGATGAATAGTAAAAAAAATGCAAATAATTGTGGATTAGACACATAGCACCAAAAACTCGTTTTTAATATATAGAAGATATATGACATGTTAAATTTGGACTTATTCTTCTTTGTTGTTAGATGATATCTTTGTTCTGTTGTTTCAATTTTCACTTGCTTCAATAATCCATTAAAAGCCAAAACCATAAGGAAAAGAACGCTAGAAAAAGACGGAGTTTCGATAAGCGAAAGCTCTATATTACAAAATCTAAAGAAAGTTGCAAACCCGATACCAAGTTATTCTTTTCCTATGGACCAACTTAGAACTCTACTACCACAAGTGAAGTAACTCTTCTACCAGCCAGATATATGCAAGGATTACAAAGAAACATGATACTTTGGATATGGAGATTCTTGTAACTTCTGCATGACCGTGGGGATTACAAACCGGTATGGCAAATAGAGAAAGAATGTGAAGAAGCGGAAAATGTTAGGAAGAGAAATAATGCTATAGGAGTTGAGGATGAAGATGATGACAACGCTGACAACAGTGACGAAGAATAAGAAGATGCATTGTCTGTTGCTTGCTTCATTTGCAAAGAGCCTTTTGTTGATCCAGTTGCACCAAATGCAAGCATTACTCAGTCCCGGCCCAGCAATATTCAGTACCTTAGTGCAAAAAAAATATTTGGGCTTTTTATTATAATTTATGTTTTTTGTGGGTTTTTCATCAATTATATGCTATAATTTTTAATGTCTTGGGCTTTAATTCATATTAAAATTTGTTTTGGGGCTTTATTTAAAATACTTTTTAAAATAAATTGGACCTTTTTGTCGAAGATTTTTTTACAAAATGTTGGTGAGCCTTAGGTCCAAGCACTTCTACCCTATCCACTTGGGCCGCGCCTCGCATTACTAATGTGAGCATTGTGCTTTAAAGGTATGATAAAGTTAGTTAAATCACAATTATTATGAATCTGTTTTTGGTCCGTGAGCCATATTTTTTTTATTTTATTATTTTTTTTTTTTTTTGAGGTGAGCCATTTTTGTGAAACTAAAGAGTTTGTTTATGTAATGAATAATGATGCAGCATCACACGAATAACAAGAAGTGCTTTGTGTGTAACTAACCAACTACAGTTATAAAAAAAATAGAAATGAAAGCTATATAAAAACCACAAGGTATGTTCTTATAAAATTTGATTTGTTGGGTAAATATAACTTTTTGATCTTGTTAATAACCAATAAAATGATCACAATCAAAAAAGCTTGCTTCCAAAATGTCTTGTAAGTTGGTTGTTCATCTAGCTTAAATCTCAAGGAACTTAAATATGATAAATCGTCTAATTCTTTTCTATCAATTTTCCTACTAACCCATCAAGATCCTAACCAATTACCATACTGGTTATTATTTTTCTTCTTTTGATTAGAGCACCACAATGATCATCATTTTAGGATCATCCTTATTTTTGTTGAATCATGTATATGAATGTTTGTTAACCCTCTCCATATAAAAAACAAGAATCTGTTGACAAAAAAGAAAGTTAGCTAAATGAATCATTCAGTGTATCAAAATAAAGAGATAATTTTTTCTACAAATAGCTAGCATATAATCATCAAAATGCAAGAATGAGATATTTACAAATATTTTTCAAAAATAATATATCTTATCACGACACACTAGTGAGCTAAAATCCATAGATATATATACACCATCAGTAATGGTCCATATATCACCATGCGAATGCATTACAAAAACAAAATTTAATGTAAAGTGATGAATACCAGGTTTACATGCAAGCATTTTCTTTTTCCCTAAGGCGAAGGTGATGTTATTGAAGTGTTGGAAACTATATATGTAATGATGAAATTCTATTGAAAAAACGAAAGGATGATGAAACGCATCGGCTACCGCAATTATTTCAGATTTTAAGAGTTAGATAATTTAATAATTTTTAATTAAAGAAAAAAATATAATTTAAGAAATTTATGATGATGACGTAAATCAGCCTTTGGAATGATAACATGACATTAATATGGAAAGAGTTAGCCAATTTTCATATATATGATTTTCATTTTTACGAAGTAAAAAAAATCGAATTTTTTACGTATCCTTTCGTTACGGCACCTAAACCAAGTTCTTTTTTTTTGTGATTTCTTATGAACTAAATCATAACATAAATTTTAAAATACCTTAGAAATCTTATTATTATTATATATTATATTATACGACTCAACGATACAATAACACAATGCATATTGTTTGGTGAATCACCAATTGAATTGCTTTTGGTATTTTTGAATAGAAGCGACATATAGGTAGAAACCATCAGGATTGATTTGCCATAGACATAAACCATCGGTTTTGCATCTTGATTTGTCTCTATTAAGATCAAAGATGACGAAACTACTCTTTCTGGCTCCCGATGAGATGTCGCAACTCCATTTAACTGATTGGTTTGTGTCAAAGTGAAAATCGAAACTCCCACCTCGAGATAACACCGTAGACCAAGTATCTCTTTGGGGTGAGATGCAGCTTATGGAGATTGGATTAGAGCCAGGTGCAAGGGTGTTGCTTATCTCTATGGTGAAGACTTGAGCCGCGAAAGATAACGAAGAGGTTGTGATCAAGGCTAAGGCTAAGGAGACCAGGAAGAGTCTATATGCTTTGGTGGATATCATCTTTTGTTTTACACACTATATCTATATTCGTGTGAATCATTTATATAAGAAAGTTATTTGACTCACAAAGTAATGATCTTACCATATATAATTATTGTAAAAAAAAGAAAAAATAGTCAAATCAATAAATTAGTAACTAAAGTCTAAAACTGATTCTTAAAGATTCAAATTAATTAGAGGGAAAAATACAAACCAGTTTTTGGTAGATTATTAAAAAGAAAAAAAAAATGAGACAACTCAATAAATTTATCAAAAGGAAATTAATAAAACACAAACTTAGGGGTTGTTATTGGTTTTTGATTTAAATAGAGTTTTAGTGATTTTAAATGTTATGTATAATCTCTTGTTATTCAATCAAGATTTTTTAAAAGTTTGTTAAAGTTTGGTGTTATTAATTTAAGATTTGTAAAAAGTAATCTAAAATCTTCATAAATCTTGAGTTATTGGATTGATACTTTTATGAAGTCATTAAAAGTTTTGTGTTATTCTATTAAAACATTAGAATCTATGATTGTTAATGAATTAAATTATTATGTTATTTGTTCATGAAAAGTATCATCAAAATAGAGAAATTGTTTGGGAAACTTTACAAGATTATGAAATACTAATCAGCAAGATTATAGAAAACTCTAAAAAACTCTCTAGCAATAGTTTATAATCATTCATTTGTTTATTTTCTATAATTTTATTAAAGTCATCAAAATTCTTTGTAAATTAAGAACCAATAACACCCCCTTAATTAATAGACCATCTCGGCAAGAAGAATGTCAGTCTCAACAAGGTTACATATACTTTCTACTTTCTTCTCTCTAGATTTTGAACTTTTTCTTCTTCTTCTTCTTCGTTGTTAGATAATATCCTTGTTCTGTTGTTTCAGTTTTCACTTTCTTCAAGAAGCTATCAAAAACTAAAACCATAAGGAAAAGAATGCTTGACGCAGATGAAGAAGACGCGGAGTTTCAAAAGGCGAAAGCTCTATATTACAAAATCTAAAGAAAGTTGCGAAACCCGATACCAAGTTATTCGTTTCCTCTAGACCAACTAAGAGCTCTACTACCAGCCAGATATATGCAAGGATTACAAAGAAACAGGATACTGTAGATATCGAGATTCTTGTAAGTTCTTGCATGACCATAGGGATTACAAACCGGGATGGCAGATAGAGAAAGATTGTGAAGAAGTAGAGAAAGTTTGGAAGAGAAACAAAGCTATGGGAGTTGAGGATGAAGATGATAACGACACTGACAAGTGACAACAATGACGAAGAAGCCCTTTGTTTGCTTCATTTGCAAAAAGCCTTTCGTTGATCCAATTGTCACCAAATGCAAGTACTTTTGTGAGCATTGTGCTTTAAAGGTATGATCATAACTTACATCACAATTATTATGACTCTGTTTTTGGTCTGTGAGCCATTTCTGTGGAAAGATTTTGTAATGAATAATGATGCAGCATCACACGAAGAACAAGAAGTGCTTTGTGTGCAACCAACCAACACTCGGGTTTTTCAATGCAGCCCATGAAATCAAGAAGAGTAGGCCTGGGCTTTCGGTTAACCGTTCGGTTATCGGTTGGGTCCATTCGGTTTCGGTTCTTTCGGTTTCAAAATTTAGTATCCATTCGGATATTTTGAAATTTCGGTTCGGTTTCGGTTCGGTTCCGGTTCTTTCGGTTTTAAAATTTAGTATCCATTCGGTTATTTTGCTTAGGATATTTTCGGATATTTCGGTTATTTTGGAGTATTTACGGATATTTTGGATATATTTCGGTTATTTTTGAGTATTTTTACTATTTTTATTTATTTTTCAAATATTTTTGATTATTTGGTCTATAAATAACTAATTATTTTGAAAATATAATTGTATTTCGAGTATTTCGGTACTTAAATATTTCGGTTCGGTACCGATTCGGTTACGGTTATTTCGGTTATAGAATTTAATATCCATTCGGTTATTTTCAAATTTTCGGTTTGGTTCGGTTCGATTTTTTTGCTTCGGTTTCGGTTCGGTTTATTTGTCCAGGCGTAAAGAAGAGAATGGCTGAAGAAGGTAGTAAAGCTGAAGTGTTTGGGCTTACTAGGCCCAACTACTCAATGGTATAAATTATGTCTGGGCTTTTAGTAGGCCCAATTACATAAACTAAAACGGTTACCATTAGTGGGGCGGTTACTAAATTTAATTTAAAACCGTAAATAAAAATATGATTAATAAATAATTTCTAGTGCTTATCCTAATTTCTCTCCTTTCGAAACAATCGGTGCGATACTCCGTTCTGAATTTCACCGGCGATGATGGCTTTGAACAATCCGCGAAGAACACCGAGATATCTCGCTTTAGGTTTATCCGATGAACAAATCGCCGTCCCAGAAACCGCTTACGCAGAAGTCCGTGAGAAAAACCGTCAAAGCTTGGTTTGTCGAGTTCTTAGCCCTAGAAGACAAGATCTCTACTCGGTGATCGATAAACTCCGTCTTGAGTGGTGTCTCACCGAATCTGAATGTCACGGACGCATAATCGGCGGCGGGAAGTTTCAATTCGTGTTTGAGAAAGAGCGGGATTTGGAAATGGTTCTTTGGTCTGGTCCTTATACGTTTAACGGATGGCTCGTTGTGTTGCAGAAGTGGGAAGATGAGCAAGGTCCTGAGTTTCTGAAATCGGTGCCTATGTGGTTGAAGATCCGTGGGATTCCGATTCAGTATCTTTGTGATGGGACGGTTCGTGAGATTGCTTCGTCTATGGGTGAGGTAATGGAAGTTGAATTAGATGATGCAATGGTTGATTTGAGTTCTGTGCGTGCTCGTGTGAATGTTTGTGTGGATACACGTTTGTGTTTTAAGAAAGTGGCTAGGTTTGACACTGGTGAGGTTAAGATTGTGAGTTTTAGGTATGAGGATATTGGTCGTAGTAAAGCGAGGTTTAAGTTTTGTTTTAACTGTGGGGCTATGAATCATCTCGCTAGGAATTGTTCAGTCCCTTGGGTTGATGTTCCTGATCCTTATGAACGTTCTCTTTCACCACCGCCTCATGAGGCTAGTTTTGATGGTTCTGCTGAGAACAATGGTGAAGGTGGTATGTTGGAGCAGGTCGAAGCGGCGGATGCATCTGCTGATGTGGTTCAGGATTTACCTGTTGGGGATGGTGAGGAGGAGCAGCAGCAGCAAGGTCTTGATGGTGTTGAGGAAGTTCATACCACGCAGGTGCAATCTGAAATGGTTGGAACTTCATCTGAGGGGTCCAAAAGGAAGTTTGATTCGGCTGAGCAGGGTGATGATAATCCGGAAAAGCGGCTTAGAGGAAGCACTGATGCAACTGAGGGAGGAAGCACTGATGCAACTGAGGGTTTAGGGGTTAGCCTTAAACCAGTTCAAGAAGAATGATCCTGTCAAAGTTAGAACTGTTAGGGCTCTGGGTCATAGACATTTCCTGACAGTTTTTAATGTCTTCTCGGTTAGTTTTTACTACTACGTAGGTTGCCTATGTATGCAATGTAGTTTATGTTGGATATTATGTCTAGAAGTTCGTGGGAAGTGTTTCTAGGTTCTGCAATCGTTTACGTTTTGGTGCACAGCAGAGATGAGATCGTAATGATGGAAGTGCTCGGTTAAGTGGTTTGGTGTTTGCCGATTTGCTGGGTTAGAGTTTCATTTTGAAACATTATGGTCTGATCTTGCTGTGTTTATCTTAAGATTTATTTTTTTTTTTTTTTTTTTTTTTTTTTGTACGCAAACATCCTTAAGGTTTCTTTAAGACTGAAGTTTCTGCTAACTCTTTGCTTGATGTAGTGTACAATTAAGTTCTTAAAGCAGTTTGTTTTGTTACATCTTGTTTGCAGCAGCACTATTTTAACTCATTGTAACTATCAAAGTGCCTCTGTTGCTTAAAAAATAAATGTAGTTTATTACTTGTCAATATTTGGATCAATAGCTACAAAATTAAGTACTGAGAGGTTTGCTAAACAAGAGAACATGATCTCTACTTTATTGAAACTGGAGTTTCTGTTGATGATTGATAACTTAACAAAGGGTTACAGAAATAAAAAAAAGTTGGCAGTTTTAAGAATAAGCTTCGAGTCTACAAGCATCAAAACTAACGAAGAATGAATGATATTCAATTCCAACACTGAAGAACAATGAAACAAAACTGATAATCTTAGAATCTTATAGTAGAAAACGATAAAGCTGAAACTCACTATGATCTAATTAACTTTAGGAGATAAAAAGAGTAAATTCGATACACTCAAAATGTATAAAATTGAAAGCCCAAAACCTTAAAACGAAAAGAGATGGTGCATCAGTTCCCATTTTTATTATGCCTTCCCATAAGCAGCCATTCTGCTAGCAGGAAGCTTCTTCTCTGCTTGACGCCTTCTTCTCTTCGCCTTTCTCGATAGTTTAGCCTCAGCCTCAGCCTCACCTTCCTCATCTGCTTTCGGTGTTGGTTTCGTCTCAGCAACATCAGTCTTCTTCCTCTTCTTGTTTTTCTTCTCATTGTGTTTACCCTCCCACAACTCCCTGATCTTAAGTTTCTGCTCCTTAACCTTGTGCTTATTCACCTCCCAATCCTTTTCCACATAAGGAGCCATCTTCTTCAATGGCACATATTGGTTCAGGTCTGTGTCATCTAAGGTGAGTATCTCTCCTGTATCCAGTTCGAATCTGTTTGGTTGTACTTTCGCATACTTGAACCTTGTTTTCAAATCTCCAATTGTATCCTCATAGTCTAACTTGTAGTACTCCTCCATCAAAGCTTCTTTGGCTCTTTGTACAAGTGACGTTTTTCGCTTTCTCTTCCTCTTACCCTCTGCCTCCTTCTCCTCATCTACTTCTTCTTCCTCTACTTCTGCATCATCTACTTCTTCTTCCTCTTCTTCTTCATCATCACCCAAAACGTTCCCCTTGTGCTTCAAACCCTTTTCTCTAGCGGCTGTAAAAACATCCCCACCTTTAGTCACATCCCAATCTTTGGGAAGTCCAAGCAATTCATCTTCTTTGTCAAAATCTGGTTTCTCTCCATCATCATCCTCATCACTATTCAAATCCGAATCCTCCGCACCATAATACTTATCATCAAACGCAGCTTTCATCATCTTATCATACTCCTCCGGATCAAACTCATCATCAAAATCTTTCGCATCTAACGGACACTCTTCTTCATCCTTAAAACCAGCAACAGAAAGCACCTTCTTCATCTTCTCCTTCATCTCCTTCTTCTTAACATTCTTCAACCGCTTCAAATCTTCTTTCCTCTCCATCTCAGCCAACTTCATCCTCTCCTCTTTACTCTTCCTCTGCACCTTCCTCGCATTATCCTTCTTCCTCACCGACCCTTCCACAACCCTAGACTGACCCATAACAATGTCCCCAGCATTCTCTTCATGCCTATAGCTGCTCTCCAACGGTCTTCCTGCCTCAAAATCCTCCTGATCCCAAACAGCACGCTCATCATCACTCAACTCTTTCAACTCTGCTTTATCTACAATATTCTCCTCTTTCTCCTTCCACAACTGTTTCACCAAATAATCTTTCAAAAACTGATTCTCAACAACCTCAGCTTCTTCACCAAAATACTCATCAATTTTCTTAGCTAACTCCTCATCAACCTCCACATCATCATCTCCTTCCTTCTCCACAACTCTCAAAAAATCATCATCTCCATCACTCTCATTCCCTCCAGCTTCCAAAGCATCCGTAACAGCTCTCCTCATCTCTCCCTGCTGCTCAGCGTAAGTCCTAACCTTCCTTTTCTCATCTTCCTCAACATACTCAGGACCTTCCTCAAGCAAATGCTGTGCTTGAACATCTTTCAAATACATCTTCTTCGTCTTCTTTTTCTTATCCTTCTTATCAACCCCATCTTCTTCTTCACTACTCTCATCATCAGACTCAAAGAACTTAGCATCTTTGTTCTTAATAATAGGATCCTTTTTCTTTACCTTAAGCAACAAATCAACGAATTTGAGATCGCTTTCTGGATTTCCAAGATCAGAATCCGGCTCAGACTCCGGCTCAGAATCTTCCTCGGAATCGTCGATGAGACCTCTCTTCTTTCGCTCCTCATGTCGCTGGAGAGCCTCGCGGTTCTTGTTGTGCTCCAATCTCTTCATGTATTCTCCATCGAGCTCGAAGCCTGTGAACTGTGGAAGCTCGTCGCCGTCGTCAGCATCTGGTATCGCTTTCAGCCGCCCCATCATGGACTAGGGTTTCTGCAATTGTTTAACTTCCAAATTGTTTAGTCTTGTTTTGCAAAAATTGGAAATTTTTTTTATATCAGAACTCTGGAACCTCGATCCAGCGATGCACAATCTCCGCGAATGGAAATGTAACTGCTCAGACGTATCTTAGCCCTCCGTGTACTATTCTCTACGGAGAGTACAAGAATTCGGGTCCTGAGTCGGATGTTATCCAGAGAGTTAAATGGGCTGTGTATAAGCCCATTATGTCGGACGATGAGGCAGGAAGGTTTACGGTTGCCACGTTTCTCCGAGGGGCTGATTGGTTACCGATGATGGGAGTGCCGTATCAGCAAACTTTATGATATTATTTGTTTTTTTTCTTAGGTTTTAATTATTTCTGTCGATAGTTTTTAAGATAGTTTCTTAAAAATGTTTTAGCTTAAAAATGTTTCTTTCGATAGACGTATTATTTGCATTTAGATTATTTTAAGATAATTTTAAAGAGTTTTAGCTATAAATTCTTATCTTTAAATGCAAATATTCTTTTGTAACCTCAAAGAAATATATTTTATTTTAAAGTTTTTTCACGATCAACGCCTCTCTTATGATTTGTATCAATTCTCATTATATACAGTTAAAACTTAATGGGTTTGGATTAAATTATATATCTTTTTTGGTTTTCAATATTTTCTCGTAAAATTTTCAGTTAAGATTAATGGGGTTTGGATTAAATAAAGATATATACAATCATCAAGATTTTTAGAGTATTGGTGTTTGCTTGGAGATCTAAAATCTTATAATTGAGATTTTTTTCTTCCGGTGTGACGTACAATGATGATATATATAATAGATTTCAACGTCAAGTTCTGATTTTTTCTTTTGGAAATTTATGATTAGTTTTAACTAGCTAACTAAATTTTAATCTGCGATACACCGTACGATGATTTATTTTCTAAAAATAGTGGTTTTTTAAAATTTAATATTTATGTATTATATATAAAAAATTTAAATTTAATAATTATGTATTATATATTTTATAACTTATAATTGTTATTAAGTAACGGTATACCATAGGATAATTTTATCTAAATCAAACTGATTCGATATGTCTAATATTGGTGGTGTTAAAAAATAATAAAATGAAAATTTAACGCGTATTGAAGCGATATGTTAATGATATTTTGAATTTTTATTAATGTTGATTCAAAGCTCTTCCACTCGTATGAGCTGTTAAAGGAAAAGTGACACTTAACCATGGTTATTCTTAACTAAGATAAAAACAATATAACTAGGCCTATAAAACTTCTAGATGCTTCTGGATCTTTCTTAATTACTTGTAACTCCTTGTGCTTTCTTCTTTCTTTGGTAATGGTAAAGAATAGGAGGATGTTGAGCTTCATATGTATTAGAAACTTACCTAATCTTTATCTATTTAGGCCTTGCTCTGCTGCAGAATAATAGCTAGTTTCTAGAATCATATGAGGACTGTATGGAAGCTCCATCATTTCATAATAGGTCTATCTGTTCTTTGTACTTTCTTCAATGCTTGTATGAGTTTGGTTGTATGAATGCTTGTATTGGAAGATATTGTTTTGCAAAAATTGGAAATTTTTTTTAAAAAACCAATGAGTTCTTAACCATTGGAGAATATTTTTGTTAAGATACTCTATTTATTTTTAAATAATACTAAAATCTAAAGTTAAGAACCAAATTCTTAACCATTGGAGATGGTCTAAGGTTTTATTTAACTCATAATCTGGTTTTGTGCCACTACTACCACTAAACTACATACCTGCACTAAACGTATCTTCTATTTTAGGCTCTAATCGAATAATCATTCTTTAGTCCAATTTTATATTCCTATATATCATCTATTTCTGAGCTTAAAAGATTAGACGGAAACTATCATTTTGACTTTGGCTTATCCGGAAAATTGGATGATATATAATAATTTGGTTCGGTTCGGCAGTCTGCTTTTTGGGCTCGGTTATCATGTTAAAATATCTTCCGAAACTGAACCGAATTTATTTATCTTCGGTTTATTTATTCGGTTTGCTTCTAAAGATTTCTTTTTATTGGGGTTCTAAATGAAATTGGGCAATAATATTGGGCTGCAAAAAACAATAACACAAGCACAATTCGATATTTTTTACAAACCAACATAGATTTTAGGGTTTTGAGATGACAGACTCGTGAAAGGCCGACGGCGGTGGTGATATCGGTGGCTTGACGAAATCTGCTAAACCATGGCGACGAGAGAGAAGAACTACCATTTCACAGATATCAAATTCGAAACTACTAATTGTAATTTATGTGTGTTTGAGATCTATCGCATATACTAAACCCCTAAAAGTGGTCTTACGCTTCCCAACCATTTAAAAAAAGTTCACGGTTTTGACAGAACGACATGGAAAAAAAAACATCAATAGAATTTGGATCACATACCATTTAGTTTGACCAAAAAGTTACAAGGAATAAAAAATGCGGGTACCAGTATATACAAATCAAATCACGATTGTATGGATTTTTATTTTTAAGATTACGTACCAAAACAGATGTTGAAAAGATGGTTTTTATTTTAAATTTTTATTCCATGGCATTAATAATAATAAAAGAGAAACCACATGACTCTCATATAGAATTTAATGATACATCACTTAATATAATAACAACAACAAACGAAAGGTTTCTCAGGCTTCATTATCGGAGGACGGCAGTCTCCTGTCGCGTACCCCGTTGATATGCAGTGCTCGGAGCAATTGTTTGACATATATGTGTCGGTACATAAAATATCATCAAAGCATTTTATGCCGACCTTCTCTTTTCTAGCTGACACATATATATACAGAAACTCCACATTAATATAGTTATATATATGTACAACATGACAAATTATGTTTTCACAAACCAATACTCTTTTATAATTTCTAAATCTTCTTCATGTTGTATATTGCTCTTAAAAAATCATATGATAAGAACTAATTAATTTTAATAGTTACTAGTAGTATATAAAAGAACATACCCGATACCCGATAATTTTAATGGTTGTGTCGTTTTGTGTGGACAACGACACAACCATTATAACTACAAGAAATGAGGTCACAAATATTTTTGAGAAACCCATTGCTTTGTTTTGTATAAAGGCCTGTAAAATAGTGAGTTGCTGAATATCGACTTGTGTAATTAGACTCTTAGACCCCAGTATTTATATAAGAATGAGATAAACTCTAAACCTAATAAAAGAGGAAATCTAAGAGAAAAGGTAATTATCTAACAAGAGAATATATATGAATAAGAATATAGGATATATAGAATATATCCCAATAAGGCCTATGGGAGAAAACAATTTGCTTTGCAATTTTCCCAGATCTTGAAAAAGCTCTAATTATAGAACTCTTCATCTTGGGATTGACCACATAAATCCCATTATTTTACTTCCAAAATAATCTCTACATTAATGGGATTTTGTTTTAATTTTCTTACCAAAAACAACTTGCCGTTATTGGTCAAAAACACTATATTTGGGTAAATTTACAAATTATTAAAATAAAGCTTAAAAAATTTTATTAGTAAAATTTTATCGATAAATTAAAAATTTATAGAGAGATTTTACTAATTTTGTAATTTCTTAAAGACTTTCTATCTAAAAATAAATTTTTTCTTTACAAGCAATATCTTTTTAAAATCAATTACAAGTAGAGAAACAATTATTAAGTTTAAAAAACAACACAAACTTTTTTCGAATAATAGAGTCATATTTCATTAAATATTTTACATATAATATTTTAAATATATATAGTAATTCATATATGACATATATAAATTTATATCATATATATATATATATTAAGTTAAATATACTTACATATAAGTTTATACAATTATTAATTTATGATATAGATGGGACCATATGTTTACATGATATTTTCAAAAAAAATATTATCTTATTAATTTATCGATTTACTAGGGGAGGTCCCCGCGCCTAGCGCGGGGTTGTATGTTGATTAAGACCAGAATTAATAATTAATATTTAGGGTTATCAAATTAGGGATATTTATTGAATTAATTTTGTCAAGAGTCTAATTTTTATAACGACATTAATATAGAATTATGGTAAAACGCTATAAATTTTGATATATATTATTAGTAATCAACAATTAATAGTGTTTTTGAATCACAAATAATTATTAGTGTTTATATCTTGATATATATAATAGAATTAAATATAAAAAATCTATATATTTAAACCAACAATATATTAGCAACGCCCCGACCGCCACTGTCCATGGGTTCCCACGTCCAGTCTCGGTCTTTAGGCCCATCTTCTTTGTTTTGTCGTACTCTTGATTTTATGACATATTCATGCTTACTCGTTTCTTTCATATTAGCAACGCCCCGACCGCCACTGTCTGTGGGCTCCCCACGTCCAGTTTCGGTCTTTAGGCCCATCTTCTTTGTTTTGTCGTACTCTTGATTTTATGACATATTCATGCTTACTCGTTTCTTTCATATTTGTAATGCCACAACCGCCACTGTCTGTGGGTTCCCACGTCCAGTTTCGTTCTTTGAGCACATCTTCTTGGTTTTGTAGTACTCTTGGTTTTATGACATATTCACGCTTCCTCGTTTCTTTCATATTTGTAACGCTCCGACCGCCACTGTCCGTGGGTTCCCCACGTCCAGTTTTGGACTTTAATTTGGGCCCATCTTCCTGGTTTTTGTTGTATTCTTGATTTTATGACATATTCATGCTTTTAGATTGTATGTCACTGGAGTTTTTCGTAGTTGGAAACAAATAATTGAAAAATATAATCTCTTACCATATCTCTTACCTATCAAGTAAGTCATCTTGCTCTTTGAAGTAGTTATGTACGTAAAATTTCAATGGTATAGAAACAGGCATCTCCTTTGTATATATCGTGTCATATTTATCGTCCCTATTGTAGTATCTTTGTCTCTACCTTCGCCATTGGTCGCTGCGTAACCCTTCAGTTGATCTCTTGTTTATAAAACCCATATAAAAAGTTGTAAGAGAAATATAATTTTCTTAACTGTATCGTATATGTATTTGTAGTATATTGATCTGAGATTGCAAAGATGTATGCCTATCAAGAAGCTCTTAGCAAAGTAAACACTGAAGATAGGTACTAAAAATGAGAGGGTTACAGAGAGCAAGTATCTATCCATTAGAAACCACTATGTGCAACTGAG